CTGGGCAGCTTCGGGAGTAGACGCCGATGGGGATGGTGTGCTGGCAGCGACTGTGGTCGTCCGCACAAAGAAGTCCTTGCACAGTGAAATGGCTTGAAAATCGCAGATTTGCCATAACCCGTTGGAAGATTAACAAATACATCTTCCCCTTTCACTGCTGATTTTATAGCTTTTGATTGTAACTCCTTAAAAGATGATAATTTCAACCTTTCGACCGCATATTCAAGGCTCTTTGATAAGAGATCTCCTTCGTCGTTCTGTAACCGCTCAAAAATGTATTTATGATTATACATGTTGATAATGAATATGCATGAAGTTTTCTCGAATCGTCTACTCTGATTGGTGCGTCGGATTGGAAGGGGCGGTTTGGCCGGTTTTCTGGGTAAGATACTTTGCATCTAATTATCTCCTGATTCGGGAGCGGAAATATAATACAAAACAAAAGAAATAAACTACAACAACCACTCAGGTTAGTAAAGGCCGAGCTGCTGACGCACCTCGTCCCACAGATCACAGTCGTCGCGCGATTAGTCTATGTATTCAGGCGCGTTTAGGGAAATACAGCACGAGTGCCTTGACTAAAGGCTATAATTGGGCCGGATAAATGTAGAACAAAGGTCATGCAGAGTTGTGGAGGTGTGTGTGTTGGGGGGGGGGGGGGGGGGGGGGGGGGGGTAATAAACTTTTAAATGGTTGACTTAGTTAGGGCCACAAACTTCACTGTCACCAGGATGGAAAGTACATTTTTAAAAATTCAGTTCAGTTAAAAGGCAAAAATAATGACCCCATTTCACTGTTGTACCTCAATTCATTTTTACCCCTTTTTTTTGTTTGTTTATTAACTTAAATAGTTTTTAAATCAGAAAAACTGCACTGATCATTTAGCCGACTTAACAAGTGATATATTAATATTTTAAGTGTCCAAATAATGAATCATTCTCACCTCGACTTCAATGTTCTTCATATTGTGCCCCATCCCCAATGAAATTTAAATTTTTGCATTCGTCGTCACTGATTTTGGGGAAATTTGCCCCCCCCCCCCCAACAGTAACATTTTCAATACAGGGACCCCTTCCAATATTGACATTTCCATAGGCTCTATTAACCTCCCTCCCCCATCCACACCCCAATTACCTATATGCTTTCATCATTTTGGCATTGACTTATTCTTTATTTAAACCCCCCCCCCTCATCTTTATTGTAAACCATTTTTTATACTGTATTTATACATTAGTCTTGCCCACTCTCTTGTTACATTTCCACTTTCTCTCATTAGGAAAGATGGTTAAATCTATCTCGCTGATACCAGATATAAACAAACATCAAAAGGTCGAACACCATACTCAATTCTACACAAGACTGCATCAGACCCCATCTCACCTCAGTCATACAGCATTATCATTACAGAGTGCCTACATCATCATAATCACCAGCATCATCACATATATTTCACAAAATAAGAAAATGAAAAGAACAGAATTAAGCAGTATCAACTAATTTATTAACATTTATGAACTCATTTATTTTTTTTTTTTTTTTTGTTTCTATAAAGATCTTTTTAAATCCAACATGACATCAACAAAAGGATGGCAAATGGATGGGGGGGGGGGGCTGTCTCTTGAATTCAAATTTTTCAGTTGTAAAAGTTTACTGTAGATTTTGAAAAAAATATTCAATAATATCAACATGCTATTTTATTATGTAAAGAACAGGTATATACTGAGTTTTATGAGTACTTTATCTTACATTGGACATTATTGTTGTTTTTACTACTATCTGTATTATCATTATTATTACTACTATTATCATGATCATTGTCATTATTGTTACTATTAGTTGGAATATTTTTGTTTTACCCCAATTTATGGAATTATTTTATAAATAATTTAAAAATAAGATCTGAGAATGTATATTATTATCTAGATCTATTATTTTTAAATTATATTTAAAATAATTCCATAAATTAGGGTAAAACAAAAATATTCCAACTTTATGAGCGACAGTGTATAATTATATTACTACAGTATTACTATTGAACTACATAATTTTATAACCCCCCCCCCCCTTCAATTTACTATCCAGTACAGCATCCCTAATATTTTTGTCAGAACTTGACTTAAGATTAAATATCAAAAAACTATATTCCATGTACACGCATTTAAAAGAAGATATGATTACTTTCATGATCCTCGATATATCTTCTTCTTATTCTTCTGGTAATCTTCAAAAGGCGTTGTAGCCTTTCACGAAGATGAACTAATACTAAAGATTACAAGTGGTGTTGCATTTTAATTTTATTAAAAAATGATAAACTTATGTCTATCTGATAGGGCCTTTTTTGAAGAGAAGAGTAAAGGTTTAAATGTATTTCCAATTATTTTAAAAGTAATTTCCAATTTATTTTAAGTTATTATTTGCTAGACTTTTGTGAACAAAAGTTTGTTAGATATAATGTAATATTTAGGAAAAGTACCTTTGAGTACATCTTTTAATATGCTGAGAGAATAAACTGTAGCAACACCATAGTTTGTCACCTAAATAAAAAGCTAGAGAATAATTGAGAATTACAAGATATAATGCAACACAAGATGACAGTTCCCCAAATCTTTGTATATAGTCCAAGTCGAGTGTGGTGTTCGCATGGGCTTAGATTATACAGCCTGAATATTTTCGAACTTCATACAAACATACCTTGCCAAAGTTCAACTTAGGTCTTAGGTGTCCTGTTCCTGATTAGATACATTTGTTGATCAGGTCCTGGTGCTCTTTGTTGCACTTCTGTGATCATTATCTGCTTCTTTGTTCCATAGCATCTACAATTAAAAGAAAACAGAAACTTAGTAAGGTTCCTGCTAATATCATAATGCATGCATAAGTTATCTGTTTATAACTTTGTTCATGTCCTTTAGAGAAAGAAATATCCATGTCATATGTAGGGTTGGATCCAGAATTCTCACCAACATAAAACTAAGGAGTGGCATAAAATCCTGAAAATAAACTAATTATTTCAAACAAGGCACAATGACATAACTAAGAGCGAAATCAGGGGAAGTGGGAGGTGGGGAGGGGGGGGGGGGGGGAGAGACACCTTTTTTGTTTTGTTTTTGTTGTCGTTGGTAGATCTAGCCTAGATCTACATTCAAACTAAGCTGAATCTGGACCTGGATCACAATAATGACACATGTGCACGACTAGTCTAGTCTAGTGAATCAAAAACGAGCCTAGACCCATGGCTTTGGAAGTCTTTGCTACAAGCTATAGATCTAGATCTAATTGCCTATTTTTAATATTATTAGTAGGTGGCTCTGGACCTAGATCTAGACCCGTCCCTATGGCTATGCCACATCTTAAAAAGGGGGCACAGAATGATTGTGCACCCCCCCCCCCCTCCATATTAAACTTCCACATTGATCCACCTAGATCTAGAGGAAATCTACATCAGGCATTTAGATCTATTTAGAATTTTTTGTTAGAGTACATTAGGCCTAGAATCTAGCCCTAGATCTAGGCCTAGATCTATACTAGATTCGGGGTTAAATGCTGTTTAGGTCTAGAATTCTATAGACTTCTAGATCTACTTAAGACAGTGCAACTGCTAGATCTAAAGTTAGGCCTGCATAGCCCGAATTTTTCTGTCTCTTTCGTTCGTTAGCCTCCGATTTGGGTAGGGTCGGCTAAAGAGAGGCTAACAGAGGCTAACGAACGAAAGAGACAGAAAATTCAGGCTAGAATATGCTATGAATACTAGTCTAGTCTAGATCTAGGCTTTACTGTAACACTAACACACTGTAAAGTCATAGCCGCGCCAGCTCAGGAAACGCAGTCGCTTCTTGGTGTTTCAGCCGGCTAGCACCGGCGGATTGAAAATCACATTCTGCTCGACGAGATCTCATCGGCTTGGACTAGCAATGAGCCATTTGCGCAGTCTACAACAGATCCACATCTACGACCGATTACTATCGGTAATCAAGCTATGAACTGAACTTAAAATTATGAGATGCGCTCTAATGAAATAACCTACGGTAAAATCCTGATTGTTTCTAAAAATATTACCGTCGATGACTTAAATTAGAGTTCATTCAATCAGTTAATATTCTTTGGTCAGAAGAAAGAAAAGAGGATGGGGTAGGGGGTTAACCGGGTAATACGTTGTGACAATGCGGGGAGCCGCTCACTGCAATGACGAACACATCACAATAATTTCAGAGACCTTCAAACAAAATGGATCTTTACTTACTTTTCTT